GGCAGACACACCGAGCTTGTGGTTTCTATATAATAAGGATAAGGATGAGTGGGAGTTGAGTGATCTGCTTTTTTCATAATATCAATTGTTGGCGCGTTGCTCTATATCCTTGAGCGGGCTCCAGTGACGTCTCCATTGTTCGCGAGCCAGACGATTTTATGTCGCCCTCGCTAGGGACATGAGGCATACCATTCCTCCCGTTCAGAGTTCCGATGGTCATCACAATATCGCAGACATGTCCGACCCACCCAATCTCCGATTTCTTGGCGTAGGCGACATCATCCCTAATACTCGTTCGCTGACGGATCTTGGACTCCGGATTCCTTTCTGCACTTGCGTATGCAGGAAAATTTCGAGCATCGTCCTTCCTAGGCACGTTCAACGAAGCTAACAGCACGTTCACCCTGCTTTTGTGAAGCCCAAATTTTCGAGGCGCGAAACAAAGCAGGAAGGACAGCAGCGTCGAAAAGCTGAGCACGGTCCCGAAGATTTTTTGCCCTCTTCACCATTCTTTTAATACCCTTGAAAGCTCACCGCGCCGCCCGTTTCCTTCTGCTCAGTCCTAGTTGGATGGCACACCACGTTCACTTCTCGACCTAGTTAAAAGTAGCTAGAGCATTCAAAGACATTTGTTCCATTATTAGTAAGAAGCATCGGGTACCAAACCGTTTCTCATGAACATCGTCTTCGTTATGTTCGGCCTGAAGCCGATCGTTCTATAGACACTGTCATTCGGCATTCATTCAGCCTGCTTGAAGTCCAGTGTTATAAGCACGAGGTCGTCCGCAAAGTGGAGGTGATGTAAGGAGTGGCCGTCGATTCTACTCCCAGCAAATCAGAAGCCGACCTGTGACCGACTAGAGCTGCTTGTCGTAACCCTGAACCCAAATCCTTAACAGCATTTTTATATGTGCTGGGACTCAGAGGTCGGGTCAGGGGTTTTACCAGGGAACCCCCAGGATGTGAACAAATAAATGAGGTCATCCGAGGCCAGGCCCCTACCGCTGGTCGCGCACCGCCCTTAGTATTGAGTTACTAGCGCGTTTGGGTATTTTCACCCACAACCCCTGCCCCGGCGCCCTTGCGGAGGGATCGACTGTGTAGATTAAAGCCACATAAGTCCGCGAATGGTGCGAGCCCCTGCTGATCGCCACGCATTCGTCCTTCGTGTTGATTTTCGGGTTTTCTGCTGCGATCCACAGAGCTGAAATTTCATCTTCACGAGACAGTATCGTAACAGAGACCGTAGCACCATCATTTCCACAGTGCTAAATCTTGTGATCACTTGGAGGAGTGGACTTTCTTGAATTTTTTGACCCACCCAAATGCTCTCATCCTGATGCAGAGTGATTTTCCCGTTTTCCCTACATATCCCTACATATTCCTCCCACATACATTCATACATTCATACATTCATCCATACACTCTTACAATGTGATGAGGTGTACGACTACTGAGATCACACAATCACCTTCCTTTCCGGAAGGGCATATCACACAGGAGGGTGTTTGACATCTCAGATCATGAAGGCGGTTTCGAACCAACTGTCTTTCGAGGTTGGAAGGGGGGGGGGTATCTCGACTACTCGCACACTATCCTGGAGATCAGCTTTCCAGAGACAAGCGCGAATGACAGCGCTCATATCATCTGAATCGAAAGGTACACAGAAGAGTTCCTTTATTCGCTCTTCTTCTTGTGCATATTCCATCTTAGCACGTCTTTTACGCTGCTCATCACAACCTTTCTATTCTACTGCGCAATCCGATGAGCCAGCTTTATGAATCCCTCTCTAAAACCGCCTTCAGACGAAACTGTAGGAGCCTTGTGTGTATCTTTCACTTCAGATGATATGAGCTCTGCCATTGGCTCCTGTCTCCGGGATGCTGATCTCCAGCTAGTGTGCGAGTGGTCGAAATACCTCCCTCAATCTCAAAAAATAGTTGGTTTGAAATCGTCTTTATGACCGGAAATGCCAAACGCCCTCCTGTATGATTTGCCCTTCCGGAAAGGAAGGTGACTGTATGATCTTAGGAGTCGTACATCCCATCAAATTCCGACTGGGGAGGAATGTGTAGGCCACACTGCATCAGGATAAAAGAACATTCGGATGGGTTGGAAAGATCTATAAAGTCCACTCTTCTGGGTGATTACAAATTACATCACCATGTAAATAAAGGTGTGAAGATCTCTGTTACAATACTGTCTCGTGAATATGATATCTCAACGCGCAAGACTCTGGAGGCACTGTGGATCGCAGCAAAGAACCCGAAAATCAACATGAAGGACGAATGCGTGGCGATCACCAGGGAGCTCGCGCCATTCGCGGACTTATGTGGCTTTGATCTACACAGTCGATACATCCGCGAGGGCGCCGGGGCAGGGGTGACGGGTGGAAATACCCAAACTCGCTAACAAGTCAACACCAAGGGCAATGCGCGACCAGCGGCAGGGACGTAACCTTGTATGACCTAATTTATTAGTTTACATCTCGGGGGGGGGGAGGGTCCCATGGAGCAATCCCTGGCCCGACCTCTGGGTCCCAGCACATATAAAAACGCCGTTAGGAACTTTGGGCTCAGGGTGACGACAAACAGCTCTAGTCGGTTACAGGTCAGCTTCATCGCCTCTGATTTGCTCCCCTTAAAAATGCTCTTCTTGTAATTCGAAAAAGTAACCCAGGAATCACAGATATTTCTTCGACTTAAGAGCTCCGAAAAAGGCGAATCCGCCAAAATGTAAGCTGGTTGTGAATAAAGCTTTCAATGATCTCATAGGCTAGGACAACTGCGGACGAATTTGCTTTCAAAATGCCGAGATTTATTGATGGTCGGGCATAAAATATTAACAGCTTCCTTTCCACACCCGGGAAAGATTCTAGCGAAGGAGGCGATAGTCCAATCCCGTATAGAACTTCACGACAACAGCGATGTCTGTCAGGCAAAACTTCCGATTGAAGATGATGTGGTCCATTTCATTACAAAACCGTTTACCATATGACACTCATGTCCTTCATAGATGAGAGGGCTTCTGAGAGTGAGAGTTTCCTTGGATAGTCGATCGACGTGATAAACTCGGACAGCCATTCGCCCTGCTCATTCCATTCCATTCTGTGTGTCCCTATACGTAGCTCTTCAGCCGTTTTTCTAGGGCCAATTCTCGCATTTGAGTCACCAATGACCTTCAAGAAAGTGTGGTTCTATACGATCTCGGTGCGTAGGCAACAAAGATTACTGTGTATGAAAAAAGAGCCGTATATTCAAGCGTCGGACCGGGTTGTCAAGCCTTCGTACGAATCGATGTTCATGGCCAAGTGCGTATTGACGAGTACATCTACGCCGCCAACACCTCTGCTATCGCATGTACCAATAACAGTTCTTCTCCATTCTGGAATACGGCGTGCAGTGGGTAATGCCTTCTCGTCTTGGTCAGCCTGATGACGTCGAACTTGATCTTATTAGCTTCCGTCCTCAGATCTTCAATACATGTTTCTAATGCGTGGAAAGTACAGATCACCATCTCAGTCCTTCTTCTTATGGCAGCCTGTTCTGGCCCTGGAAGCGGTCTTCCCCGGGCGGTCCTATCCAACGCTTACGTTTGGGGCACCCCTGGGCTCAGAGAAATGAATCTCATTTCATTTATATTACTGTTGTTGACATATGGGTTCCCACGAGTAGCTTGTTGGCCAGGCTATGCCAGAGTTGATGATTAGCTGTAACCTTGGGGACGGCCCGGATCATCTCTAGTATTACTTTCCAGTCACTTGAATGCAAGTTTTGGCTGAGCAGGACACCAGAACAGCACACTCAGGCTCTCCACACACGTATGCATGGATACATCTGCGAGATAAAGAAGGTGTGTCTACCCTGCGCAGCAGGAACGAAAGTCCATTCCCTAAGTCCACGTGCGTCTCTGAGCAAATACGGTGATTTAGCCGGTGATTCTTTTAGCCGGTGATTTACTTCACCAGGGGACACCCTACGGTAGCCTCGTCGCTAACAAGCCGGTTTTTTTTTCAGTGAAAAAGAACCCTCAGTGGGAAAGATCCATGGAAGGGCAGTGTAGCTAAAATGAATTAATTAAAAGCTCGAAGAACATTCCTTAGAGCTCTTGATACGATTAAGCAAAATGTCATGAGAACGATGAAAACTGGGAATATGCCACTAGTCAAACAGCAATATAAAAGGAAACAAATCAAATCGAGCCTACAAGGAAGCACATGTCTTGCTCATATGCCACAATACGAAAGGAAATCCAAAAAATCTAAAAGCGGGCAGATGAACAGCAACCAAAAACCCACTAAAATTCGCAATTCGCACGCTCAAGCAGGTAAAATGGCTTGCAGAAGGGCAACAACGCTATGAACAAAGTTAGACTGCTTACTGGTTTTGCTTGCTTATCAGAGTCAAAGTAGGAAATGCAAGGGTGGGTTGCAGGAATAAACAAAAGCGTACACCTGCAGGTATAGTGTTCTCGTCTTTTGTCATCTGTGATTACAGAGGATGTGGCTCTTACCACTTCATAGAACGCTTCTATGATCAGTACCGGAGGGCAATGGTTCCATCCCCAAATAGCAATGGTCCGAAATCTGAGTTTGCAGAAAAATGGCACATCCTGGTTGAACCGGTAGATTATTATGGAAGTAAGATAGAGTTTTTTGACATGATCATCAACTAACCAAGGTTAATCTGAAGAAGCAGAGTAAATGCATCAAAGATGCTTGATTTAGTAGAGCCTGACGATCGGTAGGGCCAATAGAGGGCGACGCGCAGCACATTGTGAGCCTCAGCGTTGATATTTCACTTATGACAGGCCATAGTGATTCAACAAATAGTTTGAAAAGACGCATACTCTTGATAAACAGATAGGAAAATAATTGTTGATCAAGGCAGCGGACTAAATTGACTAGTAATATTACATCGATTGAGGTGGTTCAATCCTCCACATTCAAAATATCCCTAGAAACCAGTGAATTTCGGAAGAATTTATCACTAGAGACCCACTCATCCCGAGCCCGTCGTTGATTGTCCTTTTTACTATGGCCGCGATCTCTGCATTGATTCATAATCTTTCTACAGCTCACGGAGTCGTACAGATCAAAGTCCAACTGAAAGGTACACATAAGGTCGCCAAACCCAAAATCATATATTCGTAACCAACAACTCGGCACGATTGATAAACGCATGAACTCTCTCTTACCTCCTCGGCACTTTCCATTGATTAGGATCTGATCAATCCACCGACACTTCTGGTCTCAGCCTCTTCTCTAACAATTATGAACACCTGAGAAATCAAAAATGAATGTTTGTGCATCAGATAGTTTCTTTACCGGTGACTCTGAGAATTTGAAAATGTTGGTGTGGAAGAGGGAGAGGTTAGGTTGGAAGTATGCATAGAATTAGATCATCTGTTTTCTCTGCCTCGGCTTCTGAGAAGTAAATGTGGAAGTAGGTGGGGCATAAGGAGGCGGATATCCTGCCACTGCGCTGTGGACGATTGCTGCCAGTGTTCCTGCTTACGCTGTTATGCCCAATGTGCGATCCGCGGCGTGTCTAATACATTAGGTCTCAAAATCATTGAGTAACGTGTAGAATTAGTATATCAGATTTAGGCACCTAGTTCGATAAGTAAATGTCGCTTCAATAACAATTAGCTCGTCTTAGGCAGAACCATAGAGGATTCACTAGTGATCCGTTCCTGTATTGTTAATGTGTCCCAACCTGTGTAAGGATATGCAACTATTAAATGACCTCGCACATAGCAGCACATCACGGCTAGAAAATCATATTAACAATTATAATGTCGAATTACGCCCAGTGAAAGTGATTAAGTCAACAAAGCTGCTCCATCGTTTTCACGTTTCACTTTCTTACATATATATTTATTTCTCCGGAAAACCACACCAGATACCTCTTCACAATGAGAATGTCTTAGCCTGAATTGCGAACTCAACACTCATGTGAATCCTTGTCATAGAAGAGAGCATCCTTGTGTTCGATCATGAAGGATTTAAGAACACAAATTACTCGCGAGACATGGAATTATCAAAAACACTAAGTACTTGTGAGCAGCTCAATAGAGAGAGAGAAAACGTGCTCACGGGACTCTCGTTGGTGCGAATAAAGTTATTCACAAATAGGAGATTATCATCAAAAATGATTCTAGATTAGGATTGGCCTTATTCGAATCTTTTGAAATAGTGATTCCAGAAGGTTCTCTCGTATGTTACATAGAAAACCTGCCCCTTTTGTATAAAATTGATGCAACGCTCTAGTTTCTCAATGCTTTATAAACATAAAGAGGGGCTCTAACTGGGAAAAACTCCTAGTTTTTTGGAGAACTCCATCTTTTATCTTCTCTATCTTCATCTACTAGATACATGCCGGAACGCAACTTAGACCAAAATAGCGATAGATGACCGGAGTAGGTCGGTACGAAAGTCACTTGGGAGGCAGGGACAGTCATGTCGTTCTGAGTGTCGATCCACGTTTGCATCCAGAAAAGCGGTTAGTTCAATAATTACTAGAAGGCAAATCATGCACTACAGTAAGTTGCAAAAATGGTGCCGGCACCAACATCAGATTTACACTGACAGGCAGCAGACCTGAAAAACAGATTGGCACTGATTATTTGACGGTTCCGGTGATTGCGGTGAAGACTTTATGATAAAATCCACTACTGTGAGGCGCACGAAAACAACACTTCCAAACATCATTAAGCTCGGAATAACTGTCTCATTATTAAGCTCGGAATAATTGTCTAAGTTTATGACACCTCCTTAGTGGTTGACATTGATTGATTGAACAATGGCTTCTGTGGTCACAGTGAAGACTTCGAATAAACTACAGTTAGATGAAGGGTCTGGCAAAAGAGTTTGACAATAAATTTTTGGATGATAGCAGTAGTAATCTCAGTGACAACATCGAATAAACTCTACTTGTACGAGGAGTATAACAAAAGACACTGACACTGATCGATTGATATCTACAATAATCTCAGTGAAGACTTCGAAAAAACTACACTTAGCCGAGAAGTCTCGCAAAACAGATTGGCACTAATTGTTTGTTCCATGTACGGCTTTCTATGCACCTTGGCATAATTATATTACTGAGTTTATTGTTATCTTGAACTCTTCACGAGGTTTGTAAATATCCTTCATTAGGCTGACGTTTCGGAGGAATCGCCTTCTCCAGTGCCTGAAAGGATCATAACAGTCTGTGACTATCCGATCAAAGGTCCCCAGCAACCCACTGACTTCGATACCCCCAGTGTACGAAGGTGGTCGAAAAGAGGACCACTCACCGTAACTTTGTGGATCCTTCGAAACCACCCAGCAAGTGATGGTACCAATCGATCAGTGTCAGCTGGGGTACGTCCTCATCAAAGTCCCTGAGGGAAGGCCAGTCTTATATAGGGCCGTAGCTCCCGCGTGATTGCGAGACATTCTTCCGTACGATTCATTTTGGGATTGATGACCTGTATCCAAAGTGCCTCGAGGGTTTTACGCGCGCACACTTGTGACTCCTATGCTACGAGCTCCATGGCGACCTCAAAAATGCCTCCGTTATGTTTCTGAAATCGATGACTCCCTAAGGCAGGAGACTCTTTCAATCGTCTCATACCATCTATGTGTCTTTGACCCTCACGCGCACCACAATCGTGGCAAGTAATTTTGTAGACCACCCAGACATTTCAGAAACACCTCCCCTTCCAGCTGGACAGTCCACACAGTTTCAGGTTTTACATAGGCAATCGTATAGCCTGTTCCGAATCAGGCGCTTCTTTAGATTGAAGGGTGATACGCTTACAATAGCAACTAAATGTTCCAAACCCGATCTCTTTAGATACTTTCTAATGGAGGCACTAACCTCATCAGAAATGAAGGATAGTACAAAAGGAGCCTTCCCTTCAAACGATGTACTACCATGTCTGAGGATCACACTCCCAGAAGAAGCTCTACGTGTAATTGAAAAATTGTAGTAGCCATTCGACCAGGCTATATCGCGCGCCCTTTTAAGCGACTCTTTTTCGCTGTTCCTCCCCACTGCAGACCTTCCTAGCAGTGCGGATAATATTCCTAACGACGGCTCGTTTCATGTACAAAGGATGAGCTAAGTGATAACGAACAATGATGTTCTTATTGCTACCTTTCTGTACCACTTCGTAACAATCATATCGCCCTGTAGCCACTCTTGAACGTTTAAAAAAGGGAGCCGATTTCCGGTTCTTCCTGTGTCACACAGACTATGAAGCAATAATCGATATATCTGCATAAAAGTTAGGGCAGATATTTGAGAACTTGCTTACTTAGATACTTAGACCACCCGTCCATCAGCAGGGCGATCGGCCTTGCGCGGGTCCCAACTTCTTTTCCATTGTTCTCGATCTTGAGCTCTGGTTGTCTAGTGCGTAGTCACCCTAAAGGACTCAGGTTCATAGACGTTGTTTCGATAAGCCAGAGAATCTGCCCATCGTAAAGGAGGAAGGCCTTGCGGCCGCATGTTCTCTCGCGGGTACCATCGTATAGTGGCCGAGCTCCATCGTCCATCCTCTCTTCTCATCAAGTGTCCGGCAAGTCTGTGCTTCGCTTCATCGACGTGAAGTAGAACGTCTTTAAATTTCGACATTGCTCTGACGTCGAAATTATCAAGTTTGAGCTCTCGTTGCCGACTCAGCGTTAGACCCAAAAGACGACGCTCAGTCGGAGCCTGGGTGGACATTAAATGTCTTTCTAGTGATTTCGTCAGAGCCCAGGTTTCTCCCGCGTAGCTAAGGCAGGCAACACCGTTGAATTAAATAAGTCTGCTCGAAGTTAGCAGTCCCTGGTGACCTCTAGTACGCTCCTCATGGAATAATGCTGCCCATCCAGCCTTGCGACGTTTTGCTAACTCTCCAGTTAAGTCGTTCCTCATGTTACACTGGCTCCCGAGGTACACATACTCGTCATCGTCTTCGGTAGCACCTCCTTTCCGAAGTACAGGGGTATCGCCTGAGAATCGGTTTCGCATTACTTTGGTCTTGGAAGTATTGTAGTGAGACCACAGTGGCTTCCTTCCTTACCCAGGCGATGCAGCATCTCAGAAGCGTGTTCTGGATAGTCCGTGATTGACACGACGTCATCGGCAAATCGCAAGTGGTTGAGACGCACACCGTCGATGTTGACACCAATGTTACTCCAGTTGTAGCGACGTATGACGTGCTCTAGGTAGGCGGAAAGCAGGTTTGGCGATATCGGATCACCTTGTCGTACTTCTTTATGAACTGCTACTGCAACGTCATTGTAGAAAGGATGGAATACCGTTGTACAGTCTGAGTAGCGTTCTCGTAGTACGTCCACGTAGATCCCTTTAACACCTTGCCCTAGACCTTTACTGGCTCCACCGAGTCGAACTCCTTCTTGTAGTCAATGAAGGTCATTACGAGGGGAAGCCTCGATAAGACGTCGGTACGTTGTGATGTGGTTGAGGGTACTGGAGTTTCGACGAAAACCCGTTTGTTCTACCGGCTAAGCCTCTTCTGGGGTCCTACGGATTCGTGCCAGTATACAACGTGTGAATACTTTAGAAAGTACTAGTAGAAGTGTGATAGGACGATAGTTCGCTAGATCTTCTTTGTCGCCCTTCTCGAACACCCGCACCGTCGAAGACTGCCTCCATGCCGTTGGAACCGTACACTCCGCCAGGTAGCGAGTGCATCGCCTCGCAAGAGCTCGATATAAAAGAGGTCCGCACGCTTGTAGAAGCTCCACGGAGATGCCGTCTTTCCCCTGCGCCTTTTCCCCATGACGCACTTAAATGACAGAAGAGGTAGCGTATCCTCCAAAACTGATCTTTCTTTACTCGCAACTGGAAGGTCCGATCTGAACAGAGCGGAGTAGAACGTTGTC